GCCTGTAATCTCAGCACTTTGGGAGGCCAAGGCAGGAGGATTGCTTGAGCTCAGGAGTTGAAGGGCAACATCGTGAAACCTCATCTCTACTAAAAATAAAAATTAAAAAAAATTCAGTTTGGTGTGATGGCATGTGACTGTAGCTCCAGCTACTCAGGAGGCTCAAGTGGGAGGATCACTTGAGCCTGGGAGTTCAATGCTTCTGAGAGCTGCGATCACACCACTATACTCCAGCCTGGGTGACAGAGTGAGACCTTGTCTCAAAAATAAATAAATAATTAAATCAAATTAAATTGGGAAGTCATTCTAAGAAGTACCACTTCCATAAAACCTGCAACTCTGAAAATAAAAAAACCCAGAAACTTGCCTTGAACCTTTGAACTGTGCCAAATCCCCATGACCAAAGCATCTTGGAAAATAGATAAATTTTGACAGCGCTGTAACTCCTGAACAGCTACAACCAATGAACTATGGACTCATGTACTAAGCCAGCCTCCTCTACCAACAATAATTCTTTCAAAACAACTAGCGTAATCACCCTCAGCATCTTTTAAAAAATTGCTACTACTCTTTCTTTTTCAGAACATAATTTGGCCTTTGACCACATCTGTTTCTCCTGAATCACATTTCCTAAGACCTCAGTAAGTGTCTTACTGCTTTACTGTCCAGTCTTTCACCACTTCTTGATTAACAAGAATAACATAAGAAACTTACATTTTAATGGCGTCATTTTGCTGATGTGTTGAGTATTAACTGAAGACAGGCAAAAGAAGACTCAGGGAGACTAGTTAGCAGATTATGGAAATAATCCAAGCAAGAGATGTTGATGACTTGCATCAAGGCAGTAGTCATAAAAATGGAGAGAAATGATCAAATTGTGTGTGTGTGTGTGTGTGTGTATTCGTGATAGGGTCTTGCTATGTTGCCCAGGCTGGCCTCAAACTTCTCGACTCAAGCAATTCTTCTACCTCTGCCTCCTGAGTAGCTGGAAGCTGGAACTACAGGTGTGCACCACCATACACGGTAGATTCTGTAAATATTTTACAGAAGGTGCCAATAGCATTTGTTAATAGACTGAATATGGGATGGGAGAGAAATCTAGGAATAAAAGATGATTTCAGGGCTTGTGCCTAAGCAACTAGAAGGATCCCATTGAATTAGTTCAGAAAGACTGAAAGGAGCATATTTTTATGGGGAGTATAGAGATGATCAGGAATTTAGTCTGGGACATGTTACATGTAAGATGCTCACTTGATATCCAATGGAGATGTCAAATAAGTAGTTGGAGTCACCTCAAGATTGGAATATATTACTAAGGGAGAAAGTGCAGACAGAAAAGAGAATAGTTCCAAAGACTGTAGAGGGGGCAGCAAGAATGATTAAGAAAGGAGGCTAAAGAATAGTGGCAAATGAGGTGGGAAGGTAATTGGGAGTGTGTGGTGGTATTCTTGAGGTCAACTGAAGAAAAGACTTCAAGGAGGAGGCAATGATCGACTCAAATGGCACTATTATATAAAATGAGAATGAAGAATTGATAATTTGTTGCAGCAACACAGAGGTCATTTATGACCTTGACAAGACTTGTGTTGACCAGTGAGATTGAAAGCTTAACTGTAGTGAACTTAAGAAAAACGACTCAACAGATGCTTGTATGCAGATGTTCATGGCAGCAGTATTCACAATAGCCCAAAGTGGAAACAACCCAAGTGTCCATCAACAAGAAAATGGATAAACACAATGTGTTATATGCATACAATGGAATATTACTCAGCCATGAAAAGGAATGAAACTCTGACTCATGCTACCACAGAGACAAACCTTGAAAACATTATGCTATATGAAAGAAGCCAGACACCAACGAATAAATATTGCATGATTCCACTTATAGAGGTACCCAGCGTAGTCGAATTCAGAGACAGAAAGTAGAATGGTGCTACTTGGGGCTGAGGGTCAGGGGAGAACGGAAGCTATTGGTTAAGGGGTATTCAGTTTCTGTTTGGAATGAAAAATTCTAGATATGGATAGTGTTGATGGTTGGACAACATTGTGAATGTAATTAGTACCCCTGAATTGTATATTTGAAAACAGTTAAAATGGTAAATTCTGTTATATATATTTAACCACAATAAATTGGCTGGGCATGATAGCTCATGCCTGTAATTCCAGCACTTTGCAAGGCCGAGATGGGAGGACTGCTTGAGCCCAAGAGTTCGAGACCAGTCTGGGCAACATA